CATCCCTATGCATCCAGCTGGGATATCCCAGGACATGTTCTTCTCTCCAAGCAGAGGTTTTGAAACAAACCTAGCAGACCTGGCAGCCTCAGTGCTCACCAACCCACCATGGTTCCAGCAGTGCTCCCCATCACACAGCTAACCACTCTCCTCCCTGCCTCTAAGACAGATGCCTTACCCATGGCCGTTACCGAAAATGAGATGCAAACCGGGATGCAGTGATGCAAGAGTTCAGGGAGCAACCCCAGCCTGGGAAACTCCTTCCCCCAAGGGCTGCAAAGGGCAAATCACAAGTCCCACAGCCCTGTGCATGCACCACGCCTTGCTATGGAGCAGCACATACTGATGCTGGTACAGGGAAGCTGTGCACCAACCTAACACCCCTCTGCATGCCATGCCAGAGAAGCAAAGGATGCAGTGACTTGGCTAAGGGTGCCCTTGCTGCACCGGTGAGCTGGCAGCACCAGGAGGATGCCAAAGCCTCAAGTCATCAATGCAAAATGGGACATCACTGCAGCCATGTCTCTACGAATCCCCCATGTGGTGCACAGCCCTGCAGAGCTGCCGGTCTCCAGGAGGTCTCCTCAGCCCCGCTTAGGCGCAGCCCAGGCCGCTCTGGTGTAACATGCTTGGGGATGTGTCTAGGACTAGAGCAGGACGCTGATGGGAAACAGCAGCCTGACCGTGCCCTCTGGAGAGGGCCAACCCAGCCTGTTTGCTGTGAGCGCGGACTGCCAGGGTGGGCTCAGCATTGCACAGAAGAGCCCATCGTCAGAAAATAATGATGGGTTTTGCTAAAAAAGCTTTCTGAGAGGATGCCATGAGCTCCAGCTGCAGCACCCTACTGCAGCCTACAGAGGGGAAACTGAGGCACTAGGCTTGCACCCATGCTGGTGCCTCTGGGGCAGGGCTGGAGAGGGAGCAAGCAGATGACAAGAGAGGGAGAGGGAGCGGGAGAGGAGGGGGCTGGCAGGGACGGGAGGCTGTGCCAGTCCACGACGCGCGTTCCTCCTAATGGCTATTTCAGCCTTCAGCCGGCAGACGAAGGCCAGAGCCTGGTTAATGAGCCTCCTAGCTAAATTATTCAAGCAGACCCTTTGCAGCAAAACAGAGTGGCTAATCACAAGGCCAGAGACAAGGGCCCAATCCCTGCTACAGCTCCATCCTCCTCCTCCTCCTCGCCAGCTCCTTAACCCCTTCCCTGCTCCACAGCTGCCCCCGGGGTGGGGTGGGAGAAAAGGCAGGGCAGCATCGCCCTTCGCAGGGGGCAATGGGGGAGCCGGGGACTCCCGGGAGGGGTTGAAAGGGTGCAGGGGATTTAGGGACAACCTTTGGGGTCCGAGCGACCGCGTGGTGGCAGTGTGGGCTAACAGCACCCGCCTGGCACCCGGCAAACGGGCAGGGGGCTGGACATATTGCCTGGAGGTAGAGGATGCTGGGGATGCTGCCGTGGGACTCACCCACTTGCTGGTTGTGCTCAGCTGCCCCGCACGACACCAGGAGCCAGCCGGGAAGGCAGGTCAGAGGCAGCTGAGGCTTCGGCGAGCATCCCTGCGTCCTGCATGGTCCCTGCCCAATGAAGAGGCTCTGCCCTACCTGCACGGCCCCAGATGCCGCAATGCTACTGAGCCGCAATTAGTCCGTCTGAGGATAATTTATCTCCATTGTCTCCAGTACTGTGCCGGATCTGGCTCTTGGTGATCTGTGCTAATTCCTCCAACGAGGAGGTTGGGACGGGTTTGTGCCTCCCGGTTTGCTTTGCTGGGAGAAGGCGGGCTGCCCAAACTGCCTCCTGCTTCCATCCCCCCTCTGCAGCAGCCTTTGAAGACGCCCCATTTTCACAGCCTTGAATGCCTTGAAGATCCTGTCCTTTGCTCCAAGATGGGGGGCCCCAAATGCAGCCCCTAGCCTCTGTGCCCACAGCATCCTCCACCTTTCATCCTTTGGTGCCTGTTAGCAAGCCAGAGGTTAAGGAGAGCCTGGGGAAGGGGGACAAAATGACCCTCGTGTCTCTGCCACCCTGGTGCCCATGCAGAATCCTCAGCCTGCTGCAGCTGAAGGGATGCTGCTGTATGAAGCCTGTCCCGCCCCAGCCATCACCCTCTCTCTCTGGGCAGGGACAAGCTGTCTCATGGGCACATTCCTGCCACCTCCATCTCTCCAAAGAGCCATCAGTCCCAGAGCCACAGGCATTTTGGGAGGGGCAGAAGTCCACCCCATGGGAGAGCGCAGGGCCAGTGCAACGTGCCACTCGGGGCTGTCACCATGACACTATGCGGGTGACTGTGACCATGACCACCAGGCACCACGAAGGAGAGGGCTGTAAGCTGCCATGGTGCATTGAGAGGGCTGTCTTTGCCCACCCTGCCACAGTGTCTTCTGCAAGCTGGTGGCAGGGTCCCCATCTCCCTATGGGAGACGGTGGCTTGCAACCCCATTCCTCTCCCCTCCTCTCCCAGGAAAGGCGCTCGCCAGCACAGCTCATCCTGCCCATCAAAGGCTCTTAAAGAGAGCAAATAAAATTGCAGGCTCCAATCGATCCGGCACTCCGTAATGCTGTCTTTGGAGGTGGGCCAGCCCGTCGGGCCGATGGAGAGAGTAAGAAAGGCAGCGGAGGAAAACAAAGCCATCAAGGGAGCATTAAAGGCTTTTTCTGCCCTGAGGCTTTGGGCAGTGCCTCTGGGTGTCCCGCTCCGACCTCCTCTATCCTCTCCTGGCTGATGTCCGGCTCTCAGCCCCTGCCTGATGCTGAAAACAGCCTGCGCAACACATTGCCCCTGCATGGGCACTTCTCCCTGTGCTCCTGCATGCAGCCTCCCTAATCCTGGCAAATATTTACTTCCCCGTCGCCACATGGAGCTGCTGAACTCTGTAAAGGCAGAGCGCCTTTCCTTTCGCTGCAAACAGTGCCTGCCCTCTCTAATCTGTCTATTAACCTCTCGCATGGCAGGAAGCCACTTCTCCCACGCACTCTGCTGATGTCCTCTCTGCAAACCCAGCGTATTTAATGCCCAGCCGTGGCGGCTTCCCAGCGGCTTGGGCTGCAACCAGCCTTGCTGCAAAAGCTCGGGGCAAGGGGATGAAAGGCTGTGCCAGACCGGGCGCATCCCACCTGGGTATGCCACTTGCAAGCCATGTGATGCTGCAGCAAATTCGGAGCTGTAAGAGGCAGTGAAGGCTGGTGCCAGGGTCACCGTCTCTGCAGACCCCGCAGAAGACCAGTGGCAGGGAAGGGGTTGGCCTTCCCACCACACAGTGACCAAGCTTTGCATCCATTTGACCACTGTCTCTCTGGCTTGTTGGAAATAGCTGTCGCTTGACCAGCTCCAGCATTTCTGCTCAGCTGGGGAGAGCACAACAAGTGGTCCTTAAGGATGAAACCGCTCTGGATGCATCAGCACAGACACAGATTTTTGTCTCCCTCCCCATCTCTAAAGCCCAGTCGTCCTTGTACCCTGAGTCCCACTGTGCAGGGGGAAAGTGTGACCAATCCATTTTAGAAACCACTAAAAATGATCTACAATAGCTTTTCCTAGCCCTGCTAGGTCATGAGATAATGGACATTAAAATTGTGGCATTTTTATATATAGAAAAGTTATTTTAGGTCATTTTTAGAGGTTTCTGAAATGGATCAGTTATAATTTTCCTCTCCTGCTGAGGGCTGAACGTACTAAAGATACCTTGCTCCACAGGTGGAGGGATACAAAAAATAGTACCAATAAAAGTTTTAAGAGGCCTCTCAAACACTTCTGTAGGAGGTATTTCTTCTGGTGCACTCAGGGCACATTCAGGCACCGGGCTGCTGAGGGATGTTGATCCTACAGTGTGCTTGTGGGGTCACCTGCGTAACTCATCATCCCTGTCTCGGGCCAGCAAAGCCTCAGGGTCCATGACAGCAGC